AGTTTTTGTACTTTTTTTTTTTTTTTTTGCTTGTTTTTTTTTCTGAGACAGGGTCTCTATATAACCCAGACTGGCCTCTAATTCAAATTATCCCTGCCTTGTGTTCCTGAGCACTGGGCTTAGAGTCATGTACTATAACACCTGGCTATCCTGAAAATACCCTTGTCTTGGTCCAGTTGTCCAGATCTCCTTACTTTCATCCCTGCACTTTATTCTTTAAAGACATTTTAAAGTAACATTTTTCTTTATTTTATATGTTTATGTGAAGTAGGGGTGTGTGTTGGTGTGCGAATAACAAAGCACGTTGTGGGAGTTGTTTCTTCCATAACAAGTTGTGGGAGTTTTTTCTCTTTGGCTGCTGCTTGGGTCCTTGGACTCAAGCTCAGGCCATCAGGCTTGGCCACAGGTACTTTTATTTGCTGAAACGTCTTGCTGCCACCATGACTTCACTTCTTGAAACATCAGGCTATCTCCAAAGTCCACCTCTTTCCATCAAGACTTTGTACCTCTTAACTTATACATTGAATCTCATGTATAAGTGTCTCCCTAGAAGCAGTTAAACAGTTGACCATGTGCAATCAGGCCTTCTTCCTTGACTGAGATGGTTTTAGACTGGATTTTGCGTGTCAGTATGCAGAAGCTTAGGTATATGTTTAAAGGAGCTTCCAATAAAAAGAGACTGGAAAGAACAGAGAAACCGGTTTTAAAGATATGATTGTTTAATATACTCCTTTAATTCAAGGAAGATGTATATCCTTGGGTTTTAAACAGAGCTGACTGAGTCCCCAGCAGAATAAATGTTCACTTTAATTATAGAAATCTGTAGGACATTGTCAAAAGTAAAGTGAAGATCTTTAAAGCCTCCGATCTGTGGTTGCATTAGAAATAATGATAAAAAAGGAGCGTCTTTTTGCCCACCTGTTCCCCAACCTCTTCGTACCAGGGACAGTACTGCCACTTTTCTTGATGGCCTTTCCAGATGTAAAGAGCTTCTCCCTCTAATTCAGTGTCTGGGGTATTATTTACTTGACCCTATTTTTAATCTTGTCTCCCTAAGTGTTTATGAATCCTCTCCAAAATGTTTTCCTCTCTTATCATCTTTGCCACAGCGCCCAAAGTTCTTGACTTTACCTATTATTTGGTGCTATTTGCCCCTCCACAGGTCCATATTTTTAGCCTCAGGCTCTTTCCCCAAGTAACATTTTTGGATGACACAGGAGGAAATACAGAGAATGAGGAGGCTACAGCTCTGACCAAATATTCTCTAATCATAATACAACTTCTATGTTCATTACCAATCTGCTTTAAGTATAGAATGACAAATACTAAATTTCCTGTGTTTACGTTAGAAAGCGAAAGTTCAGGAAACAATGATAAGTTGCCTGACTTAGTAAAGGGTCATATCTAAAATATACTTCTCTCATCCTTTAATAAGTTCTCTTGCTTTTATTTTATCAGGAAATACTCCATATATTGGGTGGGATTGAAAACCTAGCTCAGGTAAGATCTCCTCTGGGGGCTGGTCTTCCCTTTTCATTCTGGGCTGTATTCTGAACAAGGATTAAATAAGCATACAACAGTGGATAAGCTGGGTGCCTCTTTCTCTCAAAATACTTATCCTTAATATGCTTTGGACCTACAGATAAGTCAGTTAGCCTAGAGAGAGGATGGTGCCCTGCACAGCTGTTTTCTCTTGGCTTCATGAGATATGAAGGGCATTTGCTTATATTTTAGCTCACATTGTAAGCTGCTGATTTTCAAAGCGTCTGGTGCCAGCTGCCTGCTTGGGAAAGAGCAGGTGGGGCAGACATGAAGCATGACACTCACAGGCAGGGGGAGATGGGGAATATTTTGTTCTTGCTAACCGGCCTCATTTACCCAGCCTACTGAAACAACAACAACAAAATACTATGAAAATCACATGTCTTTGGTTAATGATGTCAAGAAATATGTACCAGCTGGCCAGCTCACTTACCATGATGGGAAGAAGTGTAAAGACACAAATTTTTTTTCACACAAAAATAACCACTCTACTTATTAAACATTAATAAATAGATAATAGAGTAAGGAATAATCTTGATTTCAGGTTTTTTTTTTTGCTTTGGAAACAATTTTATAACAAACTATATATTTTATTAGTCCTATGTTTCGTAATATCTTAAGTTGCGTTACTGAGGGGTGACAAACAGGTGAATATATATGCTAAGCAACTCAACAACTTGGGCTTATTAATAAAACAAATCAAAGCTTTTGGGTATGTCATTGAGTTCTAAAACCAGACTTCTAAAACCTATAATATATAAAAGGGTGAATATTTATTATTATTATTATTTATTATTATTTCATGGTACAAGAGATTTGTGCAATTACTCTACCACAGAACTATATCCCAGACCTTTTATTTACTCATGCTTTTAAATTTTCAGATGGTTTTCACTATGGAACCCAGGCTGGCTTCAAACTTGCAATCTTTCTGCCTCAACCTCCCCCCAACCCAACTAGCTAAATATCAGGAGTGTACAATTGTGCCTTGCATTTCAAATTTTATATACTTTCATTTGTTTATGATTTTATGAGACAGGCTTTCGCCATGTAGCCCAGGCTGGATTAGAACTCTTCATCCTCCAGCCTCAGCCTCCTGAAGGCTAAAATTAGTCATGTGCCATCATACTCAGCTCAACATGATTTTTATGATCAACCCACATACTTGCAAACTCATTCCAAGTGATTAATGTAAAATTATGCTTAATAGAAATGTTAGGATTTGAATATGAAATTCCTCCCAGAGGCTCATAGGTTGAATACTTAACCCCCAGCTGGCAATGCTTTGATGGGAAGTGGCGGAAACTTGATGAGGGGGTCCTGGCTGGAAGAAGTAGGTTTCTGGATACCTGCATTGGGAAGCTATGTCTTGTCTCTGGCCCCTTCCTATCACTTCCTCTGCTTCCTGACTGAATGAGGTGAGCATCTTTCTTCTGCCAGGCTCCTTTTCTCTGATATTTCTGTCTTATTGTGAACTAAAACCATGATATCAACTGACGTTGGACTGAAGTCTCTGACACCGTGAATAAAAGAAACCTTACTTCCTTAAATTGTTTCTCTAAGGTACTTGTCACAGTGGGCCAGGCATGGTGGTGCACACCTTTAATTTCAGCACCCAGGCAGATATTTGTGAGTTCAAGGCCAACCTGGTCTACATAGTGAGTTCCAGGCCAGCTTGGGCTACAGGGAGACCCTGTCTCAAAAAGACGAAGAAAAGATACTTGTCACAGCAAGAAAATTGAACACAGGCCATTTAACATTAACTCCTAGGAGGTTATCCATGTTCAATTTTTAAAAAAAATAAAAATCAAATGGTATTTATTTGAGAAAAATAATAAATCTTATAAAACTGTAGCCAGAATTTATAAAAATTAGGAAAAATAGAAATTATTGCTATTAACAGTGAAAAGTAAGACATTGCTACAGACTTCAGATATGATATGTACGAGTAACACATCATGAGTCACCTGGGGACATCTGGGGATGGAACACCAGCTTGACTCAAGAGCCCTTACCATATATAACAATGCACCTTTTTTTAAAAAAAAGAAATTTAATGGGGAAAGGGGCTGGAGAGATGGCTCAGCAGTTAAGAACAATGACTGCTCTTGCAGAGAACCCGGGTTCGATTCACAGCACCTACATGGCATCTACGAACCGTCCCTTAACTCCAGTTCCAGGGGATTCTGAAGCCCTCTTCTGACCTCCATGGAATTGCGTGACACGGATACACTCCCATACATGTAGCCAATACACTTGTTCACATAAAATAAAAGCAATGAAAAAAATTAAAAAATTAAAAAAAAAGAAATTTAATGGGAAATCAGACATGATAATGCACTCTGGAGGGCAGGCTGTTTGCTGTGAGATGGAGGCCAGCCTGGCCTATGTAGCAAGTTCCAGGTTAGCTGGGGATATGGGAAGACCCTGTCTTCAAAAACAAAACAAAACAAAATTTAATGGGAGATTTGCCTGATTTAATGAAGTAAGCTTTCATAAGCCTCTCAAATTGGGTTTTTCTTTGCACCTGTTTCTTGGTTGCTGACAGTGAGGAGTTATCAGAAAGCTTATTCCATTCCCGTTACTGATATCTGTAAGGGTCCTGGTCAAATATAATATGAGATATTATAAAATGTGTTAATATTATATATATATATATTGTTACAAAAATTTTACTGAAAGGTAAATGAAAGAATCAAATTATATCTATATCTATATCAAATTTTAAATATATGTATATATAATCTTACATGGACCATATGTTTGGATATTAAATGACACCATGAAATTATTTATTACAAGTTATTTTTGGATTTTTAAGAGCTTTCAGAATCTTTAGATAGTCCTTCCCCCAACTTTATGGCATTTGGGGAAAGAATCCCTAAACTCCTGTCCTGTCCCTGAGTGGAACAGACTCAGGAGTACCGATAGCAATTGGTGGCTCTCTTCTGCCACCTAGAGGTCATCTTAAGACCTGCTTGTCTCCTGCTATGTGATTTTGGTGCCAGCCTTCTGACTGGCATGTTGGGTTGGTCTTTCCTGCAGTACATGGAGATGGTGGCCAATGAGTACCTGGGCTGTGCAGAGGAGCAGCACTGCGTAGACAAGCTGGTCAACATGACGTGTAAGCATTGGTGCCAGGGAGACAGCTAACGTTGTGGGATAAGCAGTGTGGTGTTCCCACCAGGAGAAAGGACACCTGCGGTCTTTATGGGTTTCACTCACAGCGAAGGCGTGAGTCTGTGCCAGCTGATGGATTCAATGGCAATACCCCCAGATCTTCCAAAGACAGCCCTTTCTTTGGCAGGAAAGTAGGAAAGGAGGCTTTTCTAAGAGCAAAGTTTGGTAAACGTATTTACCTTTTATTTTTGTTAAAATGTCAGAGATTTCAATTTTTTCCTCTAATATTTGGGTAACAGTTATACTCAGCTCATTGAATTTGGAACATCCAGAGCATGAAAAACAAGCAAACAAACAGAACTGAATACACATCTAAAGACAGTAGCATGGTGGCCTGCGTGGCATCTTAGCCACTTATTCCACTTCCTTGGGAGGCTCAACCAGGTTCCCTTTCCCATTTCTTCCCCCTACTTGCTACCTCCCTCTTCCATGCCCTCCCTTCTCATTTCCCTCCCTTCTCCATTCCAGTCCATCCAGGTGTGGCAAGCCACAGACTTCCTGCTGCTGGGGGTGGCAGCTCTGGCCCATTGTCTTTGAGTGGTCAGACTTGTTTCCTATGCTTGTTTCCTTGGCACACTGGCTGGTAGGTGCAGGGGAGATGTCAGGCACCAGGAAATTTGAGGACGACTATTTCTGTCAGCTAAGATACCTCCCCAGGGTTTTCACACTGGCTTACCTCTCTTCTCCTTCTTCAGAAGTTGGGCTATATATGGGCAGGGTGTCTTAAAAACATACCTTGAACTTGTAATAAGGTTTAAGAACCAACTCAATTTTAATTACAGGAGAGTTTGCTTTCGTTGTAGTCCATGTTTCACTATACTAGTTGAGCTTGAGGGTAGTTCTTGGGGTGGAAATACAGTCCAGTTCCTCCTCCATTGCTCCTTTTGTGATCTGTGTCCCACTGGTCCCTTCTCTGCTCTCCCATCAGTTTTGAGAACCTTGGGTTTCATGACTACTGCCTCTTTTAATCTCTGGATCTCTCTTCGAGTTATTTCCTTCCTTTATAGATATTTTTCAAAAACTTGCGGCTGTGAAAGACCAAAGAGAATGGGTCACTGCAAGTGGAGCCCACAAGGTGAGTAGGCCCCCAAAGAGTTAGCTCTTCAGTTCCACGTGGCCCTGTGTGGCATCAGTTTACACACACAAGTTCAGAGCCTGGTGTTCAAGCCACGTATCATTATAATTGACAAAACTGTTCACCCAGCCTAAAACTTGGATTTTTCTGCCTACCTTCTTATATTCTTTATTGGCCTATTGAGTAAATAACAGACACAATATATGAAAGTTTTCATTTTTCTGTGCTGTTTAATGCCAGCTGAATGCATTACTTAATTCAAATAATGTAAACTGATCTTGGTTATATATTTACAAATAAATAAGTTAGCAAATAAAATTCATATATGTATAGATATAAACAATTCCATTTTCTTATAGTTTTCTTAGTTTTACCCTTATGAAATTGACATTTTCTATAGGTCAGAAACATTAAACATAAGCAATTTCCTGTGTTGCAGGCTCACAAGATTGCATAATGTTTCAAGCATCTGGAACAAGGGTATATTTTAAGGGGCTGGAGGAGTGACTCAGAGATAGAACATTTGCTCAGCATGCCCAGGGTTCTGGGCACCATCCCCAGCAAAATACACACACACACAAGAGACTAAATTTATATTTATACTGAAACTGTTTAGTTGGTAGCTGTGTAGAGCCCATTTCAATAACCTGTTGAGTTCTCCCATCCCAGGAAGTTACTGGTATATATTGGAACATGGTTGCTTAAAATATGTCAGAACATGCTGCTTATGTTCTAGGAGAGTGATTCTAGGTGACATATAACGTTTTCATTTCAATAGATAAAGATTTCACTCATATTGCTTAAGATTTGATGAAAAGTTAACATTAAGATGTTAAGTTGTCCTGGCAGAAATTGTGAAAGTGCAAATGATATTTCTGGGATTGAAGTGTGTGAAGCATTTTGGGTGGAGATGAGGAAAGGGTCAGAGAAAGATGATAAAATAGGAAGAATAAAGATGGGGTCCACCTGATGGGAACAATAACCACCCCAGTGGATTGGGGTGAATTTTGGGGGAGGGGGAGGTTAGGGGAGTCTGAGTTCTGAAAATTTAAAGAAAAGAGAATTTATATTGAGAATTCAGGAAAGCCAACTGACAAGGTAAGAGCCATATTGTTTGGGATGATGCATGATCGGTGATGCCCTTCCAACCCCAGTTAGAAACCTGGGATTCAGTTAGAAATCTCAATCCCCCAGATAATTTAGAGTGCTTTGTTGGGAATTAGTTGTATAACTTGGAAAGTTCTTGATGACCAGGTGAACTGTACTTCATGCCACCTTCCCCCACTTCTCTCAGAGGGGGGCAGAAGTGACAAACAAAATGCCAAGGATCAGCAAAGAGCAGGACAAGTGAGAACCAGCTGATCTGTGACTTGTTTGTACTCACTGCTCTGGGCAAGGAATGGCTACAAAGAATGACTGTAAAGAGTTCCAGAGTGAAGAGGATCTAGGCCCTCCCTTCAGTAAAGAACTGGACATTCTGAATGTTTAACAAAGCTTTTAAGATCCAGTTTCTGTATGAACTACACAAAGAAAAAGAAAAAAATAACCTATATAAGGTTTGATTGGAAACAACATCTTTCATTATCCCCTAAGGAAAGCCATAATTCACTAAATAATTTGATCCTAGTTATTAGAAGGTTATGTTTATAAGACATATTCAGTATAATGGAAAGAAAACAAATAAGCAGCTATAAAATTGTGTATATATTTTTTTACTTGTGTGTGCACATATATTTTTTTAATTGAGCAAAATAATCTAGAAAACAAAAGACCAATCCCTGTGATCTTTAGAAAGAAACAGTACACTATGCAAGAGGCTTCTAGTCCTTATATACTCATTATCTTTTCTTCCATTTTTCAGACATTAGTAAATTTACTTGGTGCCCGAGACACCAATGTCCTGTTGGGCACTCTTCTGGCACTGGCTAGCTTAGCGGAAAGGTGAGCATATTTGAATATGCTTCTTAGTTCTGCTGCCCGGGCGACTTGGATGGGAGAGATATAGCTTCTTTGTTGCCTGCTTAGTTCACACTTAGGGGGGAAGAAAAAAAAAACAGGGAACAGCATATGCTGGAGAGACTTATGAATGGACAGCATCATTTAAACTTTAAGCCGGAAAGGCGAATCACTATTTGATTAGGATATTTGCTGAGTCCTTCCTCTGACCCTCTGCTACTTCTGCTTTCAGAACTATCATATTTCTTTGCCAGAGGAATCACCCTGACAGCTCTTCATTTTTTAGTATATATTTATTATTTACTAGTTTTCATTTTTGTCCATGAGTGTTTTGCCTGCGTGTAATTGTAAGTGCACCACATGTATGCAGTGCCTGTAGAAGCCAGAAGAGGGTGTTGAATCCCCTAGAACTGGAGTTACAGATGGTTGTTAGCCACTATGTTGGTGCTGGGAATCAAATCCAGGTCCTCTGGAAGAACAGCAAGTATTCTTAACCCCTGAGCCATCTCTCCAGCTCCCTTTTCTTCATTCTTACCTGTGTGTGCATTTTAACATTTTCAAACATTTGGTCTTGAAAACCTGTCCTCCCATAAATGTCATTGTTTTAAGTACAGAGCTTTAAACATATTTTATGCCAATAAGCAGGTCATTGCTTTTTTTGCAAAGAGTATATGATTTCTTGTTACTTTATGGTCTCTTCTCTTAATTCTTTGTGAGGTAATATGAGCATTAGGATACCAAATAAGTGAATGAAATGGAGTATATTTTTAGTAGATGCTAATATTTTCACATTTGTAGTCCAGAATGTAGGGAGAAGATCAGTGAACTTAACATTGTAGAAAATCTGTTGATGATTTTGCGTGACTATGACTTGCTTTCCAAAAGGTAAGGTTGCTAGTAGTTAGAAGGTGGGGTTGCCAGTGGTTAAAGCTGTTCTATTATTTGTTGAAAATGCTTATTATTTTTTATTATGCCATGTTATCTATACTGTTAAATGAATATCATGAGTTTTTTTAAATTACATAAGCCTGTATGAAGAAGCTAGCAGATGGGAGTACATAGAGTCCAATGATAAAATTTTGTGATTGCTTCATTAAGAATTTTGTTATTGCATTTCTCTAAATAAAAATTCTGGGGAAAGATACTCTGTTGGGTCTGTTTTTAGTAATTTCAGACTTATGTGTGGAATAAATGAAGTTGTTAAAATATATTGTGTTTAAGGCATGTGATATAAGATGCTGACTGAATTATGTTGTGATCACCTGTTATGACTCAAAACAGAATCTGGAACAAAATGGGTTCCTTTTTGCTGCGTCTGTGTGTTGCTCTAAAGGATGTGTTCAGATGGTTGTTATGTTACGTTGCAAATCTGCATTATTTGGTGTTTATGTCATAATTATCTGAAGAACCAAGACAATAGAAACCCTAAGCAATAGAGACCTGATACTTGCAGTGATTTGTTTGGATTCCTCTTCAAAGCTGACTTAACATTGTTTTACAAGAGCATTGATATAGACAAGAAGAAGAATCTGTGTTTACAGATTTGGTTGATTGAACTTATTCACTCAGAAACTGGGGGCCAGACTCTGTACCAGGTGTTAAGAAACCAAAATTAAGACCAGGGTGTGCAGTATGAGGGAGGGGCTAGCAGGGAAATTACAGGAATCTTGGTAGGGCTGTAGTACCCTGCAAGATGAAATCAACAGGGCTCAACACAGAACAGACTGCATGTTATGTTGGTAGGAGATAGGGATCAAAGGGGGTCAAGGGTTGTCAATTCTTTGTGCCAAGGAACAGACCAGAAGAGGATGTGGATCTGCTGTTAAAGCTGCAGGTCCGTGATCTAACAGCGAGGTAGCTGGCAGGGAATCCACTCAATGGTAGGAAGAACATTGGCTTGCCTAGTTGCATAACATTTAAGAGAACTAATCCTAGCAGTTTCCAGGAAATGGGGGGGCACTAAGGGCTTTAAGTGGACAGTGGTAAACTGTGGGAGAGAGGCAGTGACTCCAATACTTCTCAGTCCTTTGGCTTGGGAAATCAAAAGCCTAGGTTCTGGGAGTCCAGACCAGGGATATAATAGGAGGGAATGATCTGGGGCGGGAAGAGGGGGGATAATGGCTTTGAGATTAGACACAATGTGGTAAAAATTTGAGCAAATCTGTGTGGCTAGAACTTTTGGTGATAATGTACAAAGCCAGGACTCAATCTTGATGCCAGGGTAGAGGAAGTATTTGTAACCAGGGGATAGATGGTAGCATTCAGGGAGAGTTTCTAGATTATGAGACTAGAGGACTAAGGATGATTCTATGTAACGCCTGTATCACATATATACTAAGTTTTTAAAAGAAAATTATGTGTGTGTATGTGTGTGTGTGTGTGTGTGTGTATGTGTGTGTGTGTGT